AATTTAATTTAGCATTACTTATGAACAATTTATTGTGACAATCAATAATGTCAGAATAAACACATCCCTCAAAAGAAAATTCAGATCGATGGAACCAACCAAAATGGATGAATAATAGGACTTAGACTTTAGGGAAAAGAAAGGAGTATATAGAAAAGTTAAGAAAAGGCATCACTTACTGGAGTTACTATCAGAACCCAACAAGACAGGTAAAAACAGAAATTTAGTATGCCAAAAGAGAAATTAGAAATCAAGGTAGCAAACGAATCGAAAATAACCCCAAAAGCTTTTTGTATCAACCGTATAAATCAAAGGTTAGAGATACAATAGGTCCTCTTAAATCACAGAAGAGAGGAGGTAAAATGACTGATGATGAGTTAGGAAATGTGTAGTAACGTTAAATAGTCATTTTTGCCCCAGATTCACAAAATGAAAACCGAAAAGGCTTCCTGAAGTTCATAAGGTATATAACGACGTATAGAAATAAAAGGATGAATATCAATAATACTAGCAAAACAATGTGCTAAAGTAATTAACAAACTGAAGCTCTGGCAATCATCCAGACGAGGTATATGCTAGAACATGAAGAATGAGGATGAGCTTGAGTAATCCATTAGCAGTTTTATTTATCGTCACAGAATCGGGCCTAGTGCCAGTAGCTTGGAAACTTGCAAATGAAGTTCCTGATTTTCAAAGATAAATCAATAGCATCACCATTACCGTCCCATTAGTCTCACGTCAATCATAGGCAAGTTGCTGAGTCAATTATTGCTACAAAAAATCAGAAGCCACCAAACATCTAATCCTTAATTCATTCTTCTCAGCACGGGTTCACCTAGGACGTTCTTGTTCTGGCCAAATTGCTTAGCTTTTTCTAAGTATTTGAAGCGGTAGATAATGATGTCATATGATATAATTTATTTAGATTTCAGTAAAGCATCTGATAGAGTCCCCATGAGAGATTGATAAGGAAGGTAGAAGCAATATGGAATAGGTGGATCAGTATTAAATGGACAGTCATGGTTAACTGGTGTTAAAAGGAGCTGCATGGGCAATGGATTAAAAGCTGATCAGGTGCGGTCAAAAGCGGAGTTCTGTGGATTTGTATTAGGCCCTCTGCTGTTTGTTATATTCATTAATGATCTTGATTTAGGCATAACTAGTAGGATTAGTGAATTTTGCAGATGATACCAAAATGGGGAGAGTGATAAATTCAGACAGTGACTTTGAACACCTTCAAAGAGATCTAGATACCTTGTTAGCGAGTGGTCAGTAGACCGGCAAACGAATTTAATACTGATAAAATGCAAGGTACTATAGAGAAGACGAATACAAACGTTAAGTATAAACTAGGTAACACGAAATAGAAACTTGGGGTTTAGAAAAGATCTAGGTGTATTGTTAGCAACGACTTGGAAACCTAGGAAAATGAATATTAGTATGTTCAAGCAACAAGGCAAACAGGATTCTTGGGTTCATATCTAGGTCTGTGAGTAACAGAAATCATGACGTTATTCTTAGAAACTCTTTACTCTAGCATTGGTGAGGCTAACACATGGATTATGCGTCTAAGCTCTGGTGTCCTATTATAGAATGTATATGGGGATTTTGGAGAGTACAAAAGAAGAATGACAAAAATGATCCATAATATTAGAAACCTTTCCATATGAAGAAAGACTGAAAAGCTAGCTATATTCATTAGAGAGGCGTAGAGTTAGGGAGACATGATAGAGGTGTACAAGTGGGGTAAGTGGGATTAACAAGGGTAAAATGGAAGATGTTCAGCTCATAATAAATGAAATAACTAGAAGTTCAAATGAACGAGATAAATCGATCTGGGAAAGATAGGCAAGCACCGGTTTGCAATAGAGTTGTGATATGTGGAATAGCTATAATGAGGCTATAGGGATCGGGGACGCTTAGAGCTTCAAAGATTTAGTTGGATAGGTTACGGAAGGCGGATAAAGAAAAGGATTCAGTTCTATATGGGCCATTGGCCCTTGTAGATCCCACTTCATGTTCTAAAGTTTTATGTAAACACTTTATAATCTTAAACACTTTTTTATTTACTGTACGAAAAGACGGAAAGCATTAAACGAATCAAAAACTTAGTGCACTATAGAATAGGTGGCAAATAGCAATGCTATTTGCTACCTATGTCACGTTACCATTACTAACAGCCAGTCAGCGTGCCTGACTGGCTGTTGGAGACACGCGTCGCACCTTACAACAGCCAGTCAGCCAAGCGTGCCTGACTGGCTGTTGGAGACACGCGTCGCACCTTACAACAGCCAGTCAGCCAAGCGTGCCTGACTGGCTGTTGGAGACACGCGTCGCACCTTACAACAGACAGCAACAAACATGTATACATTTTGCTAGCGGACTTAAAGTTAGCGGAACTAAATTTAGGGGAAGCTAATTGGTCTGCTAGTGGTTTCCAAGGTTGGCGAAAACGCTAATCCGCTAACGAGAAAGTTAGCTTCGCTAATTAGCGGTTAGAGGATTAGCGGAACCGTGCCCACCACTGCATATAGGCAGTATTGGTATCCAATAAACATAAACACTGCAAGTATGCACCGTATAGTAACATAGATGATAATGTGCGACTCGACCAAGGATAAACAACAAAGTCATCACAGCCATTTTAGCAGGAGGGATCTTGTCTTAGACGAGGGTTAATGAGTGACAATAAATCCACAAAAATAGTCACATAAGTTTGTGGATCTACAGTATATCACAAATACGACATTACACCTAGAATATCCAAATTGATGACCCATTTGTAAAATATAACATTTAGTTTCTTATAGCTTAATCGGCTATGCATGTTGTACCTCTGCTGTCTTGACGAAAGCGTATTTTACTTGCCTTAATATTTTACCAGTTCATGTCCCAAATCCTTTCAAAGCTTGTTGTAAGATAATCGGGGCACAGTCGTCTGAGAATCTTAAGAACATAGTTATTTATCAACTGTGTCAGACTACCTACCATACTTTATATATCCAGTGTCTCCAATAATTCCAATACAACCTCTAGCATTCCATTTCCTAAATATAAAGTTCAGAAATAGGTTTAATGAACTATCTAGGAATATTAAGAAAAATGTAAGGAAGGCAAAGAGAGATTACGAAAACAGGATAGCGAAAGAATCCAAGGCGAATCCCAAGGGATTTTTCCAGGTATATAGGACAAAGGTCAAGGACTAAGTTGGGCCTTTAAAGTCAGAGAGAGGGGAAGTGATCGATGATAGTGAGGAAATAAACAAAGCATTGACCAGCTACTTTTTATCAGTTTTCACAGAAGAAATTCACGAGGAAATTCCAGTGTGGAACTGATATTTAAGGGAAATAAATAAGAGAAATTAAAGAATATCTCTATCAGAAGAGAGGATGTTCTTAAGAAGATAAATAAATTAAAGAAGACAAAATCCCCAGGGCCAGATAAAATTTTCCTTCGAGTTTTGAAAGAGTGTAAGGAACAGATGAGCGGACCCCTCGTAAATATATTTACAAAATCATTAGACACGGGAATTGTGCCAGACTTGTGGAAGCAGGCAAATGTAGTACCCATATTCAATAAGGGAGACAGAGCATCAGCGTCAAATTACCGGCCAATTTGTTTGACATCAGTAGTGGGGAAATATCTTGAATCAATTATAACAAATAGCATTCGATCGCATTTAGAGAAAGCAAATTAATCTACGACTCTCAACATGAGTTTACAAAGGGAAAATTTTGTCTAACAAATCTGCTGACGTTTTTTAGGAAAGTCTTTGAGGTAGTAGATAATGACGAAAATTACGATGTTATTTACTTAGACTTTAGCAAAGCATTTGACAGAGTACCACATCAGAGGCTTCTGAGAAAAGTTAAGGCATGGTATCGAGGGGAAAGTTTTAAATTGGATAAAATTGTGGCTCACCGATAGAACACAGAGGGTCAGCGTAGACGGTGTTAAATCTGAGTGGGGCTATGTAACCAGTGGGGTTCCCCAGGGGTCAGTACTGGGCCCACTCTTGTTCATAATCTATATAAACGACCTAGATACTGGGATCACCAGTGACATAAGCAAATTGTGGATGACACCAAAATAGGGCGGCAGATTAAATCAGGGCAGGGTGCAAATGCACTACAGGAGGATTTAAATAAAGTGCAAGAGTGGTCAGAGAAATGGCAAATTAAATTCAACACCAGCAAGTCGACTTCAGAAAGAGACTTAGGGGTACTTGTAAGCCCGGACCTACGGCCTAAAAAACAGTGCATTTATGTTCGAAATAAGGCAAACAGAGTATTAGGTTTTATATCTAGAAGTGTAAGTAATAAGAGTGCAGAGGTCTTATTGGAACTATATTTTGCACTAGTCAGGCCGCATCTCGATTATGCGGTTCAGTTCTGGTGCCCTTATTATAGAATGGATATCAATTCACTGGAGTCGGTACAGCGAAGAATGACGAAAATGATTCCGGGACTGAGAAATCTTCCATATCAAGATAGGTTAAAGAAACTACACTTGCATTCCCTAGAAAGACGAAGAGTGCGGGGAGATATGATAGAAGTATTTAAGTGGGTGAAAGGAATCAATAAAGGGGATATAGATAAAGTTCTTATAATATCCGAGCAGGATAGGACTCGTAGCAACGGATTTAAGTTGGATAAGTTTAGGTTTAGGAGGGAGATAGGAAGGAACTGGTTCACAAATAGGGTGGTGGACGCGTGGAACAGGCTGAGCAACTTTGTAGTCAGTGCGGGAACTCTGGAAAGTTTCAAAAGGAGGCTGGATAGATTCATGGATGATAGAGAGTGGTAGTACCTCTCGACAGGAGCTGCCATGCACAGGCCAACTGGCCTATTGCAGACTCCTTATTTTCTTGTGTTCTTATATGAATAATTTGTGCAGGTACAGCTATTATTTTTTCTGTGAAGGTAGAATAAGTGTACGTAAGGAAACATTATTTTCACCTCAGACGTCATTGAATAGAATCGCCATATTCCACAGGGGAGGTCTGGATGTCGTTCTTAGTGTGTACGTCATTTATGGGTGTCATCCTGTGGCTGCTGCAGAAGGCGTGGTCGTGGGTGTCAGGTGAGCTCGGTGTCAGCCTGGTGCCCACAGTCTTCCATACCTGGGGGATTATGCTGTTAGCGCCTATCCCTACACTGCCTACTAACAGCACTGGCCGGGTAGGAACTATGTTATATGCTACTGACCATAAAATAAGATTTATAATAATTTGTTTGATAACAAAGAGTTGGTAACAGGAGATGCTTAGATATTTGAAGAAATAACACGGCCAAGGAGGACAGGCATAGGATGGTGTTATAAAATTATTTAATAAATCAGCCCTATTTCTTTATGTCATACACATATCAATTCAAAATAAAATAGTTATTTAAACCTTTCATGAATTTTCTTGGCATGAAAATACGTAATTTATATTTGTCTAGACCACCTATGGGTGTATTTAAAAGTCCTCCTCTGGAGTTATCCATTAAGTGTTGTTTCAACTAACAAAATAAAACATTAGGTAGATTTATCGACAGAGAGTTATTGCGGTAAAGTGATGGATCATTATTGTGTGAGTGATGTTTATAGTGTGTGGTAAATCCTGGTACAGGTGTTGATAGGGTGGTGGCTCCTGGTGTGTGTGATCGTCACCACAGGCTACCGCTCCTCCCTCATCGCCCACCTCTCCGTCCAGGGCAAGTACCCGCCCATTAACACCTTCCAGGATCTCCTCAACCGAGATGGCTGGTCTTGGGGTTCTTATAAATTTGAGGGAGGTAATTTCCTCTACTTCAACGGAAGTACTGATCCTGATGTTCTAGAAATAAATAGAAATATGGAGGTTAGTGAACACGAAGTACCTTACGTTGATGCTGTCACATACATTTATATGAAAATATGAGTTTACGTTCTTTCCTTCCAAGTACACACACACGCACACGCACACACGTCCCATCTATCAATACGGAGTAGCATCTCCCACACATTACCCTATAAAGCACAGAAACAAAATATACCATACAAAAAAATTAGGTTATACATGAATGAGCCAAAGGTGGATGACCAAAAAACTTTAACATGACATATGAATAAGGAAGGGGATTTATAAGAAATTAAAGGGAGGGGAGGAGCATCTCACTGATATAAACTCCTTTCTTTTTTCCTTTCATGTTTAAGGTTTTTGGTCATCCACCTTTGGATCATTCATATATGACCTAATTTTTTGTATGGTATATTTTGTTTCTGTGCGGTATGGGTTAATGTGTGGGAGATGCTGCTCAGATCCGTATGTATGGATTGAAAGACTGGATGAAGTATGAGTGAGATATTCTCATACACTTTACTTGCATGTGCTACTGGATGATGGTACATATATATATATCTTGATAAAATCACACGGGAAAATGGAAACAACGGAGTACCTTAGCTTTCGTCAAGAAGGCGATTTCATTCCTTGGTTTTTATAATTAATTTTGTTATCGATTTTTAGAGAGCTTTTAACATTTTGTTGATTTTATTGTTTTTTTTATTTTGGTTCATTTGTAGTTTAAGATATTTCTTTTTGGGCACATATGTCCATCATATACATGTACATATAAATACACACTCATTTGCACTTACACAAGCTAACACACTTGCCCTTATATATATATATATATATATATATATATATATATATATATATATATATATATATATATATATATATATATATATATATATATATATATATATATATATATATATATATATATATATATATATATATATAAATAATACAAATAAAGTATGTCTGTTTGTGTTTTGTGTCACTTTGAAATCTCGGAAACACTTTTACCGATCTGTAGTGATGATGGGTGGTGTTATATGTAGTGATGATGGGTGTGGTGTTTATATGTAGTGATGATGGGTGGTGTTATATGTAGTGATGATGGAGTGTTTATATGTAGTGATGATGGGTGGTGTTATATGTAGTGATGATGGATGGTGTTATATGTAGTGATGATGGATGGTGATATATGTAGTGATGATGGGTGGTGTTGTTATATGTAGTGATGATGGATGGTGTTATATGTAGTGATGATGGATGGTGTTATATGTAGTGATGATGGGTGGTGTTATATGTGGTGATGTTGGATGGTGTTATATGTAGTGATGATGGGTGGTGTTATATGTAGTGATGATGGGTGGTGTTATATGTAGTGATGATGATGGATGGTGTTATATGTAGTGATGATGGATGATGTTATATGTAGTGATGATGGATGTTGTTATAGGTAGTGATGATGGATGGTGTTATATGTAGTGATGATGGATGGTGTTATATGTAGTGATGATGGATGATGTTATATGTAGTGGTGATGGGTGGTGTTATATGTAGTGATGATGGATGGTGTTTTATGTAGTGATGATGGATGGTGTTATATGTAGTGATGATGGATGATGTTTTATGTAGTGATGATGGATGTTGTTTTATGTAGTGATGATGGGTGGTGGTGTATGTAGTGATGATGGATGGTGTTATATGTAGTGATGATGGATGGTGTTTTATGTAGTGATGATGGATGTTGTTTTATGTAGTGATGATGGATGATGTTGTATGTAGTGATGATGGATGGTGTTATATGTAGTGATGATGGGTGGTGTTTATGTAGTGATGATGGATGTTTTATATGTAGTGATGATGATGGATGGTGTCATATGTAATGATGATGGATGGTGTTATATGTGGTGATGATGGATGGTTTTATATGTAGTGATGATGCTGGATGGTGTTTTATGTAATGATGATGGATGGTGTTATATGTGGTGATGATGGATGGTTTTATATGTAGTGATGATGAAGGATGGTGTTATATGTAATGATGATGGATGGTCTTATATGTGGTGATGATGGATGGTTTTATATGTAGTGATGATGATGGATGGTGTTATATGTAATGATGATGGATGGTGTTATATGTGGTGATGATGATGGATGGTGTTATATGTAATGATGATGGATAATGTTATATGTAGTGATGATGGATGGTGTTATATGTAGTGATGATGGAAGTTGTTATATGTAGTGATGATGGGTGGTGTTATATGTAGTGATGATGGGTGGTGTTGTATGTAGTGATGATGGATGGTGTTATATGCAGTGATGATGGGCGGTGTTGTATGTAGTGATGATGGATGGTGTTATATGTAGTGATGATGGATGGTGTTATATGTAGTGATGATGGAAAATGTTATATGTAGTGATAATGGATGGTGTTATATGTAGTGATGATGGATGATGTTATACGTAGTGATGATGGATGGGTTATGTAGTGATGATGGATGGTGTTATATGTAGTGATGATGGATGGTGTTTTATATAGTGATGATGGATGGTGTTATATGTAGTGATGATGGGTGGTGATATATGTAGTGATGATGTGGTGGTGTTATATGTAATGATGATGGATGGTGTTATTTGTAGTGATGATGGATGGTGATATATGTAGTGATGATGCATGATGTTATATGTAGTGATGATGGGTGGTGTTATATGTAGTGATGATTAGACAATAAAATAATAACAATTTAATGCTAAAAAATATAACTTGCTGTATCGTAGGAAAAACATGGTGGAACTTATACACCGTTAATGAACTATTGATGGAAGAAGAAATTTTGGGGACTGAACAGTGAGACAATGTGGAGCTTCCCGAGGGTGGCGTCCACCGTGGCCTAGAGGGCGGCATGATGATGGAAGGTGTTTTCTGTAGTGATGATGGATGTTGTTATATGTAGTGATGTTGGATGTTGTTATATGTAGTGGTGTTGGATGTTGTTATATGTAGTGATGATGGATGCTGTTATATGTAGTAGAAAATGATCAAGTCGCGATGAAATTTGCTTGAATGCTAATAGACAGAGAGCTGCGGATCCAGAATTTAAGAGGCAATACACAGTAAATTCACTTGCAAGAGCAGCATGCATTTAACTGCGACAGAGATAGAATATGAAAAGTATCCTCTGTTGTCATTGGCAACATGGATAAGAAAATGTGAACACTGCCAAACAGAAGTATAAAGAGAATCTGCTGACTGTGCCGCTCTATGGGAAGGCATGACTGCCAAATTTGGAAAACCACCACAACCATTGAAGACTCTATGCTGGGAACAACACCAGAGTCAAACACTTCTGAAAATATACAGTAGCATACCCATGCTTCCAGATGAGACATCCTTGAGCTACCAGAGCAGTTCTCGCAGAGCACGATACATACCAACATTCAAAGTCCAGTCAAATCTATCACAAAGCAGGATCCTCTTCCACTGGTCGTGATGAGCAGTACAGTTCTTCCAAATCTACTTCTCCATGGGAGAACGCTAAAAGCAGACTACTATCAGGTGTGGCAATTTCAAGGTGTCAGAAATGAAGCCAAGTCCTATTTATCCAAGAAATGCTGCATGAGCACAACACGTATGTATAGTCATTTAAAAAACGCCCTGTAAAAACATGCTCTCTGACGAGTACAAAGTCAGGATCAAAGAAGACACACACCCCTAAGGGAGAACATGAAAGAAGATCTAATGTCTTAGAAGTTGATGAAGTAGCCATCCTGATTGTTTTGGTCAAGAGTTTGAGAAACGAGACATCATACCAAAATGAGACACGAGCTGCTCACAAGCAATATCAGAGACACATCGATCCTATGATGCACTGCAGCATTCCTCTCATCTTCTTAAAAGGTAAAGACGTATATCACTTCAATATTCTCACACAGATCCAGCGACTGGTGCGGCAAAAAAGTAGTAAGATTCTCCCTTCCCTTCACTGAGGTCCGCGATGGCTACGCATGAAAGATTCCAGGATGCCATGACTCACGTCAGAAACTCATGGACGACCAGATTCTTCATTACTTTTTACATGCAACCAAAGTGGACTGACATAACAGAAGCTCTAATGAAGGCCAGAAAGGACAAGCATCGGCATGACATTATAGCGAGAGACATTTCGTCAGAAAGTGATCAAACTCATGGACTTGCTTACAAAAGATCAATCTTGACCTCACACGGTGCTAAGATGTATCTACTGAGTGGCAGAAACGAGGTCTACCACATGCCCAGTATGTCTTGATCTGGCTGAAAGAGAAACTTGACCAATATGATTGACAACTGCATACGAGCAGAATTTCCTGATCCCGAAGAAGATCCAGTTCTCATGAGATTATCACATAAAATGATCTGTGGGCCAAGGGACATTCAACAGACACTTCCTGCATGAAAGATGGACGTTGCACCAAAAACTTCCCAAAAGACTTGATAAAGGATACTCAGAGGAAGAAGATGCTATCCTCAGTGGCTAGGAGAGGAAGAGCGCTATGCGACGGAGGTTTTACAGCAGTGTTATGAACTGGAACACACAGTGAAATAACAGTAGACAACAAATGGGTGGTCCCTTACAATCCTTTTGAGTAAAGCGGCCCAAAGTACATCAATGGAGTTCTGCAATCTAAATAAGTCCATCAAGTATACAACACGTCAACAAAGGCCCTGACCAAGTTGATGTTTGGCATTGGGAAAAAGGATGGAAATCTGCGATGCGAGGTGACACAGTTTCAGCAAGGCCGTTATATATGCAATAATGAAGCGTTATGAGAATTTTATTTTCCCATACACAACGATGTCCAACAGTAGTTCATCTGCCATTCACCTGGAAAATGGACAAAGAGTATATCAGTTGGTGAAGAGTCCTCCAAAATCAAAATGGCAATCCATGCTGATATGACCCTCACTGCATTTTTTCAAAACTTTCACAGGTGAAGACGAGTTTGCCTCAAAAACCCCAGGCGTTGACGTACCCAAG